AACCCTCCACCCCCAACCGCCCCCTCCCAAGAGCTGTCAGCTCTGACTATGAGTCTGTTTCTCTTTTGCTTGTTAGTTCAGCTTGTTCATCATATGATATTTGTTTCTCTGACTGGCTTATTTCACGTAGCATAATGTTCTTCAGGTCTACCCATGTTGTTGCAAAGGGTAAAGTTTTCTTCTTCTTTTTTATGGCTGAGTAGTATTCCAATGTATAAATGCCCCATAGTTGTTCTATCCACTCATCTACTGATGGACCCTGGGCTGCTCTGGTACCTTGGCGATTGTAAATAATGCTTCAGTGAACACAGGGGTGCTTATGTTCTTTTGAATTAGTGTTTTGGGGTTCTTCAGATAAATTCCCAGAAATGGAAAAGCAGTCTCATTTTTAATTTTTTGAGGTATCTCCATACTGTTTTCCAGTGGCTACACCAATTTGCATTCCTACCAACAGTGCCAAAGGGTTCTCTTTTCTCTACATCCTTGCCAGCACTTGCTATTTATTGATGTATTGATGGCAGCCATTCTAACAGCTATGAGATGGTATCTCATTGTGGTTTTAATTTTTATTTCTCTGATGATTGGTGACATTGAGCATTTTTTCATGTTTTTTGGCCATCTGTATGTCCTCTTTGGAGAAGTGTCTATTCAGGTCCTTTGCCTATTTAATTACATTGCTTTTTCTGGAGTTGAGTTCTATAAGTTCTGTATAAATTTTGGATATTATACCTTTATCAGATGGATATTATACCCTTACCAAATGTTTTGGTGAATATGTTCTCCTATTCAGTGGGTTGTCTTTTTATTTTGTTGATAGTTTCCTTTGCTGTGCGAAAAATTTTTAGTTTGATGTAGTCTCATTTGTATATTTTTTTCTTTTGTTTCCCTTGCCTGAGGAGATAGATAAAATATTGCTACAAGCAATGTCTGAGATTTTACTACCTATGTTTCCTTCTAGAATATTTATGGTTTCAGGTCTAACATTTAACTCTAATACATTTTGAATTTATTTTTGTGTGTGGCATAAGAAGGTGGCCTAGTTTCATTATCCTGCACGTATCTGTCCAATTTTCCCAACACCATTTATTGACTAAAATCCAAGTTGTTTAAGTATAATATTTGTTTCTTTAAATTACATACATGTCTATTGTCTTGTGGCATATCCAAAGTTTTGATTACATGTAGCCAACCATTTTTTTTTTTCCTGGAGAGTATACATACCATAAGGGACTTTTATACATACCATAAGGGACTTTTTTTTTTTTGCATTTATAGAATATTGCTATAGTTTATTTTTTCTTAATTCATAGGATAAGCAAAAGCAAAATTTTAAGTCGATATAAATGGATAGATATGCACCCAGTATCTTCCAAAAGTAGCAAGATTTTGAAAATGGAAGTTTCAGCTAAGGTATAATTTAGGCCAAGCAGTAGAAAATTTTAAATAGAAGTTCAAGGATCAGATAATCCTTAACCCTCTTAGCCACCCATGAAAAACCTTCAGCCAACTTTACACTTAAGGACAGAACATTCAACTCCTTTCCCATAAGAACAAGGATAAGGCACAAATGTCTGCTCTTGCCGGTTCTACCAACATTGTGCCGGAGGCACAAAGAGATGCAGTAGACAATCCTTAAACCCCTCTAATTTTGGAGGTGAGTGGGCAGAGTGAATGCATCAAGAGCCAGACATTAGCAGGGGCTGTGCGGGAGAGGTCTTCTGAGAGCCCTGCCTCCTCTCTGCCCAAGACAGGAGAGAAGAGCTTTAAGGGGGTCCTGAGGCTTCAACACACACCTCCTCAGCGTGAGGGACACAGCAGATCGGTGGGAGCACCACCTTCGGACAACCAGCACAAGAGGCTGCTGACCTGGTCCGTGGCACCGCAAAGGAGGGTTGAAGTTTGGAAAGCGAGTGCAGTCCTAGGGTTCACTGGGGCAGAGAACAGGGGCTTCTAGGGGGCCGGCTGCAGCGGGGGGTCTCCTCAGGTTCTGGTCGAGGAGGGCTTCCTGGAAGCATGATGACACAGCAAGGAAAACAGTAGATATTGCCGGACCCCTAGGGGCTGAGGAAGAACTGGCCAAATCAGAGATCCATTGACCTGAATCAAAGTTAGCTGCCAGCAAGGAATGCCCAGGGACAGGGGTGTGGTCAGGAAAGGGCCTTTTACTAAAGCACCCACGAGATAAAGGGGCTGCACACCAGGCCAAGCCCAGAGAGTACCAACATTCAATGATCAGAGGAGGCAGATCAGCTAACAAGCTACTGCTCCCAGCTTGTCCAGCCCCCTTCCTCTCCATCCCTGGACGTGCCAGAAACCATGGTTAAAGAGGTGGGAATTAGGAGCAAAGATACTCGATGGGAAGAGTCAGAAGAAACCAACAACTGCCTCTTTCCTCACCTGTAGAACCAGGGAAAAAGAAGCCTCAGTTTTAAATTAGGTTTGCAATTTGGCTATGTCTTGGAACAGTTATTTAATCAATACTACATTTGGGACTTACTGCAGCCCCGCTCGCTGAAATGGGACCAGAGTCATAGCCCACACACGTTTTTGGATCATATGGTTCAGGAGAACTGGCATTGCAGAGTGGACTCAAAGAGGGAACAATTTCCTCAAATAAAGTTACTTTACAGTCACTGGCATATACCATACCATTTTCATTCAGCATGTTTAAGTCACACCCTCCCTATACTGGGTAGCTTTCCATATTTAAGAAAAAGGTCTCTGCTCTCTTAAGTCTTTTTTCTCCCCTCAGGATAATCATAACTAACCGATTACTCAAGTCAGTCCTGTACTTCCCAGAGCACTATATGCATCCCTCTGTTACAGAGCTCATCATGGTGCTGGCTAGATAATTATCCAGTTAAGTCTCCATTCCACTCACTTCTCGTCTAGAAATTCTCAATCACATGAATAGTGTTTTATCACTTTGTATCTTTAACCTGTAATGCAGCCAGCTTCTATAAATCCTGCTTTAAAGATATATTAGTTGAATGAATTGATAAGGTACACCTACATTATTTTTCAGTGAAAATCAAAGAAATATAATGCCTTTATTCCACTTACTGCATGCCCAAAATTCTCTATTTATTGTATATTTAGAAAAATATCTTCCACAGACCCAATGAAATCTTATGATGTACTTGTTTGTTTAAGGTGCACATTCAATTTATGATTGTGTCTCAAAATAATATGTGGGGTGTTCACATTCCAGGAGTATAACCAATCCTTAAGAAAAAGAATTCTGAATTTTTCTAATTTTCTAAGATGTATTTATGTTCAGCTAGGAGAAACCATGGGCAGGATTTCCCAGCACAACACTCACGGGGAGAAAAATATTTCTATTATGAAGTATTAGCTTGATCCTTCAGAGAGATCAGAAAACATTTCTGCAAGTCATTTTCATGGGATTCCACTTTTTACCACTCTGATTGTGTCCAAATGCATCCGCCACAGGTGGCAAAGAAAACTGAGCTCACTGAATGAAACAGAAAACCAAGAAATAGGCTCCATTATATTCTGTTTCAAGGTCATGACTGTAGAGGGTACAAAGACACACGATGAAAGAGCCAGCAGATTTTCTGCAAGGACGGACCTGACGTTATGCAAATAAAGTTCGTTTTTATCTGCTGATATTACCGTTGTAATATCAGCACTGTTGTATCCTTGTGGCCAGAGATTTTCTTGGGCTCATTACTCCTGTGACATGCCCTCCATTTTACTTTTAAAATAGTTTTATCTAAGCTTAAAAAAAATACACTACCTTTGAGCAGTCTTCCAGAAAAACTGAGCACTGCGCAGCGGAGGGGAGCGGGCCCACGGGGGAGCCCGCTCGCCATGAAAGCCGAGCGAGGCCAGCGGGGGGCCACAGAGACCAGACCTCTGTGGGGACGTGCGCCGACCAGTTTCTAGAGACTGCTTAAAACAAACAACACGCAAAGTCCTGCTTCGTAGCCTTGCAATGCTCATGCGTGTGACCTCGGAATCCTTCTTCACTGTCGGCAGGGAAACTCAAGGCGAATTTTGAGTGGGAAAGCCAGTTAAGTCTCAGTTCTAATCTGTTGCGAATTCAAAAGAAAGACTCAACAAAGAATTTAACAACTGCACTGCCATCTGAAATGGAAATACATGTATATAAAAACAGATTTTTGGAAGACAAGCCAATTTTGGCCAGAACCTGAAGATACTGATAGTTGAGAGGACAATCCTCGGGTATTCTCAATCTTGATTTGTCTGATGCTGTGGACCTGTTATCTATTTTAATAATGCTTATGTAAATATCATTCTCTAATGCCTTATCTGTATTTCAAGAAATATGTAGATGACAAAGACACAGCATCAAAATAGGAATATGTGAGATGAGACATGCTTTCTTATGAATGCTCATGAACATGGTTTAATTCCTTACACAGAGTTTTCTGGTATTACTCAAGGCCATTCATTATGTGTTATACTGAGACACATGGTTTGACATTACTGTGTAAGAAAAACAGCTAAGCTACTGTATGTAGGTCCAAGTTACATGAGTAATAGTATGAGCTGATTTGAGTCTGAGCCATCTAAGATCTCCATGAAATCTGACATCCAAAGCTGGTTATTAACAGGTTTAAAAAAAAATAGGGGAGGAACAAAATTTTGACTTACACTTTTATTATAAATCCAGAAAAATATAAAGAGTAAGCCATACTAAACTGCTTTGTGGCAGCCTTTTTTCCTCAAATGTTTAAAATTATCAAGCAACTCAAATGCCGAGAGTGAGTAAGCCAGTGACGTTATGGTGGAAGGAAAATGCAGTTTTTATATTCAATTTTATATTGAATTTATATTCAAATAAATTGAATACTACATTACTGAACTCTGATCACCTTATGGAAAAGTGGCAATCTTTTCTTAACTAGTTTACACAGACTTTGGGAGAAATTATGGGGTTAGCACATTCCTCCTTCATTGTCCAAAGTCTGCGATTATGAACTGGAGACCACGTTGGGGGCACATTTTCTTACCACGGGTCGGTGCACGTCCCAGAACGCTCTCTCTTGGCTATCAAGGATTTTCCTTTCAATTTTGTCTCTCTTCTTGTCCACTCTGTCAACATCGTAACAAAGAAGGATGCATACTGTTAATTGTAGTGCCTTCTCTCTGAACAAAAGGCCACAACTTGAACCGATCTTCCAAAAGACTCACAAGGACTCACTTTGCTTGTGCTTCCGCCTGCATGAAAATGAACTCCCACTTCCGGGCGAAGGCTCTCTGCAGCCTGGCCAGGCTCTCCTGGAAGACACAGAGCAGGTGAAGACATCCAGGCGTTCATCTTCACTACCCCTGTCTCGTTCACCTACCATACGTGCTTATCAAGAAAACAAATACAGATTTTCTAACGTAGTACATGCCCTCTGGTCTGAACAGGTCATGGTCACTGAAGCCAGCATTAAGTCATCGAGAAAAACAGGGAAACCTATTACAAATACTGATTTTTACGAATAATGGACTTTAAAGACCACAACTCAAAATCATTTAAAAAAGTGCTCAAGACTTTCCTGTACTCACTTGGCTGTGTTTACAACTGATTCAGTCAGTCTAGCCAGTTCTTGACAATATTGTAAATAATGGGCCTACTGCCCATTTCTAGGCAGTGTTTCAAATTCAGCAAATCACAACATAGCGATTACCTGAACATATTACATCAGATTAATTGTACTTGCTGACGGTGTTGAGCTTGAAAGTTTTGCGAAAACCATTTTACCATTATAAATGTTTTTTAATTCTCTATGTTTGGATATCTTCAGGATATATAAGTATATATCTGAAGTTTTTACACTTAAGCCAATTTTTGCAAATCAAATATACTTCCCCCTTCTACTCTGAGTTTGTGTATTGAGAATTTCATCATCTTCAATGAGAGTGAAAGCAAGCAAGCAAGTCAGAGATTTATTAAGTCTTATGCTACATGATTCCTTGGAAATCTGACACTTAACAGCCATGAATGAAGAAAGTTAACCCCGTGCCCAGAAATGACCATAGGCCTTTTTCCTGGTCATTTTATGACTTTTTTTTTTTTTTTTGGTGCCAGAATGTCCTTAGTACTCACAGCTTCATAGTCTGCTAGCTCCAGCCTTGCCTTATTCTGCATTGTTCTCTTGCAGAGGTAAACCGCTGAAAGGGGAAAAAAAAATCAATCATATCCTGTCTGCTTATTAACACTGAGGCACTAAAAATAAAAATATAGCATTAGAAATCAAGACATATTGGTTTTGTCACTCTTTTCCAAAAGGCGTAATTTCCTTTATTTACCTTTTTTTAGATAAAAATAATTTGTAACAGTATCGCTAAAATTCAAACAGAGTGGTTTTTATGGTATTCACAAGAAAATAAACAAGTTTAGAAAATTGGTAACCACTTCTTTATTTTTATTAAATAGCTGCCACAATTTTTGCTTCCTCGAAACATGAGGAAAAGATAAAGCCTTTTAAATAATACATCAGATGACCTTAAACACCTAGATGTACGAATAACACCGTTTTGTACCCAGGAATTGCATGAAGAGAGGATCATTGTTGGCACATTCGATTATTTCCGTATTCTACTGCCAGCTGAAACAATCTATTAATGGAAAGCCTTTCTTGGCATCTTCTTTACGTCATTTCTTAAGGGCCAATCATTAATCGTTTTGTCACTAGAAGAGTGTACCATCTTACCTAACTACAACACAACCACCTACTAATCTGTTTTCCGGAGGACCGAGTCTCCCTGGCTGCCCGAGAAAGTCCATCTGGGTGGCAGATGTACAGAATGGATGACAGATGGAGAAAGGACGGTGACAACAGCATGGCCACCACGCAGTTATCTCAGCAGCACCAGTGACTCTCAATGATATCAAGACACACAGAGCCCTCTGGTCCAGTTCCAATGACCAGAATATCTTGATCATTTTCCATAATATATGATACTTGAGTCTCATAAAATTCCATATATGCGCTATCTGTTCTAGAGGCTGAATAAATCCACTGGATGAGGACTGTCTACATTTACTCTTGGTTGGCCTAGTGCTGGGGGGTGCCTTGTAAATAGCAGCTTTGTACGAAGCTGTACCCCACACTGTTTTTGATCACGAAGTTCAGCTGGTGTCACTGAGGAAGTATCTTACACAGAAAACCTGAGGCCACTGCAAACATTGGTGCTATTTGCTCAAGGTCCCTGCTAAGGTTTCCTGTATGAAGGTCAAGGCAAAGGAGAGCCAGCCATGGAATGGGGCTCACATCACCGCAAACGCTAAGAACCAAAGGTGGAATTTTAGAACATGTCTTTCTACAACCTATCATGGTAACTGCTTTTCTACACATAGTAGTTTTCAAACTGCTGATTTTCACAATCACTAATTTTCCAAGTTAGTAAAAACTAAACTTTGAAAAACAGAATGACATGATGTGTTAACATTCTGATGGCTACACTTTGTGCTGGCTCTTGAAAAATCTCTTATGGTAGAGGCCGCTGTGATTGCAACAAGTATCTAAAATGTTTTAGGCAGTTGATAAGAGAGATTGTAGCGTATACACAGTATTCCTGAGGGTGTCTCTTCATGAGGAAAAGATTGAATCTACTTAAATATCTAATTAAATAATTTCCACTTTCCTGTAGAATTACCTTTAATCAAATTTGCAGCCCAAGCCAAGTGTTCAGTCAGCCCTCCTGACCTCCTCCTGCATCGGCCTCCACCTGCTTTATTGATTCTGGCCATTTAATTGAATCTTTGTTCTTTTCTATATAAGATCCCTTTTGAAAACTGTATTTCTGAACTCATGAGATACACTAATGAATAAAAGCAAAAGGAGGGCAATTTTTTTTAGAGGACTCTTCACTAGGACGTTACGCATCTTTTACGACAGCCGTTTGTCCTGTAACACAATTTTCTTTAATTCCCTAAGAAACAGAATGAAGGTGTGGACAGGCTGCACAAAGAATACAGTAGTTATTTCACATGTATTTGTGGAATGAGTGAATGAATAAATAAATAGGATATGTTCAGAAGGACGTCTTTAGACGTCAAATTAACTCAAGTGATTTCTACGAGTCTCTTTGGTAAAGCAGAGAAAAGGCTGGGCTGCTAGAGTAGGAAGCACTCAGATACTGTTAAAAGTAGACACAGGAATCAAAATGGTGGAGAAGTGAGTGGAAGTCACATGGACCTCCTCCCCAGACCAACCTGGAATTACAACTAAATTGTGGAGAAATCACCTGGAACAAACAACTGAGCAATAGCAAGAGAGGAGCCTTATAACCTCGGAGACAAAATCAGCTTCTGTCAGCTAAAGCGCAACCTGACTGGTAAAAGGAGTGCTGTAGAGACTCAAGAAGGCGGGCCGGGCGCCCATGGGCAGCAGCACCAGATGGATATTGAAATGGCCAGTTGGATCCCCCTGAGAAGAGTGGGGTCTAAACCAAAAGCTGGGATCTCTAGCCCACAGCACCAGAGCCCAAAAAGCACACAGATAACAGCAGCTGCAAAAAGTGGCAGGGTTGCTCTCTGCCAGAGACAGGTGGCTGGAGACACAAAGCCATTTAAAGAGCCAACACATAAATTTTTATTTGCAGCCACTTACCCTGGTCTCCAGCAAAGCCGGGGGCAGAGTGGGCTAGAGACACCTGAGGAGAGACTGGGGAAGGAGGCTTTGGGGAGAGAACTGAGAGAGTAGCTGGCGGGATCTGGGTGCTGACTCATATCCCATACGGCAGCAGCCATATTGCCCAGGCAGACCACGCCCCTGAGCAGCGGCAGTGTGAGAGGACCCAATAACCCTGCCCCCCAGGAGGGACTCCACCCCTCCCTGAGCTGTCTAAGGCAGCCTGCTGAGTGCAGAGTAACTAGATTAACAGCTGAAGGAGACAGCCACAGACAGTAGATTCCTGGGAAGTCTCGAACAGACTGCCTAAGGTCAGACAGGGTCAACATCTGACATCATCAGAGGCAGATTCAGAAAAAAAAACAAAAACCCCCCAGCAGTCTCCTACCCTACAAATTCACACCGCAAAGTCAGGAAATCAAGATAGATCAATTTAAGAAGCAGAAGCAAAAAAGGAGAGTCTCATAAATAATGGGAAGACAAAGAAATACCCCTCACTTGAAGGGAAAGGAGGAATCCCCACAAAGAGAACTCAATGAAATAGAGGTAAGTAAACTATCAGATACTGAGTTCCAATGGTTCTAAGAAGCTCAATGAGCTCAGTGAGCTCACAGAGAATTACAAAAAACTACAGGGAAACTATGAGGAACTTACTGCAAACTATATCAGCATGAAAAAGGACATAGAAACTATCAATAAGAGACAAGAAGAAATGAAGAATTCAATTTCTGAATTGAAGAATGCAGTAGAAGGAATCAAAAGCAGGCTAGATGAAGCCGAGGATCAAATCAGCCTGCTGAAAGACAAGGTAGAAAAAAGCTCCCAGAAAGAGTAAGAAAATGAAAAAAGACTCAAAAAGTATAAAGAGGCATTTAGGGAAATGCAAGACAACCTGAAATGTATTAAGATCCGTATAATAGGGATACCAGAAGGAGAAGAGGAGGAAGGGGTAGAGAACCTATTTGGAAAAGGAATGATGGAAAACTTCCTTAATTGGAGGAGAGAAAAAGTCACACAAGTCCAGGAAGTATAGAGGGTCTCATTCAAGAGGAACCCAATGAGGCCCATCCCATCATTAAAATGACAAATAGCAAAGACAAACAGAGAATCCTAAAGGCAGCAAGGGAGAAAGAGGTAGTAACACATAAGGGAGCCCTAGTATGGCTAACAGCTGACTTCTCAACAGAAACACTGCAAGCCAGAAGGGAGTGGCAAGAATTATTCCAAGTCATGAAAAGCAAAGGCCTGCAACCAAGACTGCTGTACCTAGCAAGGCTCTCAATTAAAATGGAAGGCGAAATAAGGAGTTTCCCAGACAAAAAGAAGACTAAAATGAATACACCTCCACCAAACCAGCACTGCAAAGTATGCTAAAGGGACTGCTTTAAGATGAAGAAAGAGTCTAGGAACACCCTGTTCCTTTCGCAGTCGCCAATACTTCATATTACCGATATTTTTAATACGTATTAATCTGATTGTGACAATGATGTTATTTCAATTGTTCCTTTACTATTTGTTGAAACTAAACCTGTTTTTATATATTTCTTGCCTATTTTTATTATTTTTAAAAAGCTTTAAATGACTTTTTGTATTCTTTATCCATTTATTGATTAAAGATGTGTAGAAATTTTTTCCCTACAAAAACTCCCAAAACTATTAACCCTTTTTTTAGATGTGTGGTAAATATTTTCCCATTCTATTACATGTCCTCTAATTGTTTTTACATGTATATTACTATATAGTCTTAAATGTTTAATATAATCATAATGTCAATATTTTACAGCTTCTGGGTTTGACTATTTTACTTCAGGGTAATAAAAATATTAGTTTGTATTTTCTCCTAAAACTCCTTAGATTCCACATTGATTTTTAACTCACCTGAATATTTCTTGTATAATGTGTGAAATAGGGCTCTATATTTGTTTTATTTCAAGTAATAGTGATCCATGCACCTTATTTGTTGACTAAACCTTATTTAACCCATTGCTTTGAAATACCAATTTAATGATATATTACATTGTTAGACAGATATATATGTTTGTTTCTAGAATGCTCATTATATTTCTTTGATCTACTTGATTATTTCTGTGCTGGTGTCATGTTGTTTTAGTTACTGAGACTTATAATAGTTTTACATTTTCTAATATTCTATAATTGACTTTTACATTTAAGAAATAAAATCAATCTGCATTTAAGAAAGCAAGCAAGCAAGCAAGCGCACCTACCTTTTGTGACAACATGGATGGAACTGGAGAATATTATGCTAAGTGAAATAAACCAGTTGGTGAAAGACAAATACCATATGATCTCACCTATAAGTGGAATCTATTCAACAAAATAAACTAATGAGCAAAATAAACCACAGGCATGGAAACATGGAGCAGACTGAAAATGACCAGAGAGGATGGGGAAAGAGGACAATGGTGGAAAGAAGGAGAAGGGACTAGACAAAACATGTATGAATGACCCATGGACATGGACAACAGAGTGGGAATTGACTGTGGGAGCAGGGGGTGGGATGGGTGGAGGGGGGCA